CTCTCTCTCTCTCTTTCTCTCTCTCTCTCTCTCTCTCTCTCTCTCTTTCTCTCTCTCTCTCTCTCTCTCTCTCTCTCTTTCTCTCTCTCGCTTTCACTGTCTCCCTCCCAATTTCCGCTCGCTCTCTCACACATATTAAAACGTGGTCGTGCTTGCAGGTTGAGTATAGCTCTCTGAGCTCTCACACCCTAGGATGGAAGAAGTGGGCACCGCACAGCCACACGCTCAGGCAGGCACGTCCCGTGATGCGGACGCAGACGTGCGATTGGCTGTGACATCATCAACATGGCGGCCCGGTGAGCGGAAAAAACCTCCCGTTGCCTCGCGATCGCTCGAAATGCGCCGGAACGACCAACTGGCGACCGGTCACCATGGCAACGAGCATCACGGGAGGCGGGGAGCCGAGGATCGGCCTGGGTCATTGCCGGCGGCGACGTCGGGGGACGGGGCGCCGCCACCTATCGTGGATGCTGCGTATGTAGAGGTAACCATGGCGACGGAGGCAGGGCCGACGCGAAACCGGCCGAATCATCGTTCGCACCAGGAGAGAGCGGCCGGCGTGCGACACAGCCACGGTGGCGCCATCGCTAGTGCACACAGCCACGGTGGCGCCCTCTCTAGTGCACACAGCCACGGTGGCGCCCTCTCTAGTGCACACAGGAACAGCGCGTCACTGCCTGCCATCTATAATTGTAGCAGCGGCGACGCCGTCGTCCATCGTGACTCGTCCGCAGATGCCGCCGCGCACGGATGCTGCTCGGCGGACGTCGGTAACCGTGGCAACGGCACGCCGCATCAGCCGGCCGGCGTCGCCGAGTGGCGCCGGAGCGCGCCGCAGCATCCGGAGGATAACCGCGGTAACCACGGCAACGCGAGCCGGCACGTCAACAACAACAACGAAGGGGAGCGTGCGGCGGCGACGACGGCGACGTTGACGTCGATGGGCGTTCGCACGAGCGTCGAGCGCGCGCCGCCGATCGAGACTGCCGCCAACCCGCACGCTCTGCCCTCGACGCTCAACACGGGCATCGTGCTCCGGCCCATCTATAGCGCGCAGGAGCTTCCCGACATCCTCAACTCGCACATGCGGCCACCGCCGCGCAGCCAGCGTGAGGATGCGTCGCAGCTGCCGCGCGCTGGCATGGGGGGAGGCATCGGTCTCATCCGCACCCACCGCAACGCTCCCAGCATGGGAGTCTACATATCAGACCCGATGTTTGACGACTTAGAACCGCCGAAGGGATGCTGCGGAGAGGCGATGAATCAGACGATCGGTAATTATGATGCGTTAATTAGTCGTTAGTTCAGAGATGGTTATTGCGTGTTGTTAATTGAACGTTATTGGGTGTTATCGAAACGTGTAAGTATTGTTAGGTGTTATTAAAACAATTAGTTAGTGTCATTACGTGTTATTAAAAGTATTAGCAAATAATATCATGTTTTATCAAAACTAAAATGGCTATTATAGAATGTTATTAAATCCAAATTAGCGCTAATGGAGCGCTAACTAATGTGCTGATGAAACAATATCCAAGTTTTTGAATAAAAAAATTGCATAGTGTTGGTCTGAGTGTCTGTGGTGGATGGTTTGCTTAGCTTCATCTGCAAATGACGTTACAAATCATAATAAGAATTACCTATTAAAGTAAATAGCGAAAATAATTTGGAAAGTTTATTTTAGCTGGGAATTTTATCGAGTGGGGAAGCAGGATGTGAAAAAGGGTCGTAGTCTACTCAACCAATATGTTGTCAGAAAAAGCCTCCGGCGCGTGTGAGAACGTCTCTCTTTCTTTTCTCTCTCTCTCTCTTTTTCTCTCTTTCTCTCTCTCTCTCTCTCTCTCTCTCTCTCTCTCTCTCTCTCTCTCTCTCTCTCTCTCTCTTCTCAGACCCAATCACTGATCATTTAAAGCAATCAATACGATTGGTCTTTAAGCAACTTCCGTGATTACTAAAACGTTGATGCACCGTTCTAGAGAGGTTTATTCCAAACCAACAAATAAAAAACCAGATCATGTGTTATGCCTGCGTTACCCAATCAGTGAAGTGAATTCGGTAACACCTGAATTGGCTATGGTATGTGCTTCCAAACGACTGTATTCCAGAGACTCTTATTACATAAAATGACCGATTGATTCTGCTCGTTCAATCACTGGCCCATTGATGCTTAATGACATGTGACGCGATTGCGAGTCTTTAGCAGCGCTTGACATATCTGTCTTGGATCAGTCCAGTCATGATTACTAGTTTGATCAGTTGGATCAGTCTTGATTGCTTGTCCCCGATCGGTCTTGAATGCTTGTTGATGTAATCTGGATTCATCTTGATTGCTTGCATTGTTGAAGTTGGTCTTGGATCAGTCTTGAATCTTGTGTGATCGGGCTTCTGGATCAGTCTTGATTACTCCGTTGATCAGTCTCGATGCTTGGTCGATTTGCTAGATGTCAGTTCGAATTGGCTTCAGGATTCATTCTTGTTCATACAGTCTCCCGATTGCTTTTGTCGATTTGCTTACGAGAAGAGTAGCGAGAATATCGGTCAGTCATCTCGTTATACAGCCATACAGGTGTACATGTGTACAGGTGTTGATGGGTGGGTGAGTCCGTGTTTGCGTGTAAGATTCCCGCGGTTGACATTTATGGCAATTGTAAATAACGGAAAGTACCGGGTAAAAAACCTCTTAAATCGTTACTAATGAGCTTAATTATGTGTATAGAGTCGTAGACTAAATAGAAACAGTCGGTAAATAGACAGGTATTTACTCGGGGTTTTCTGCAAATAAAGTTACTCCTAACGTCATCGTTAAATCCGGCGAACTTATGCCAAGACATGTACGTAGATGTTTCCAAGTATCTGGAATTAACCGTTAACTAACCGTAAAACTAACCGTTATTAACCATGACAATAAAAAAGTACAAATAAGTAACTGTGTAAATTCATTAAAAATATGACCCATGCACTATGATAATTAGAGCACATGCAGACACTTGGAACGCTTCAATAAAATATAATGCTAAATAAATACGAAGTCTATTTCGACAAAAGTCTTAATGTTTCTCTGTGTCAGTGTGCGGCAGCGTGCCCGCGGTGTACATGTGTGTTGCAGAGGAGGCATTTGCAGCGGCATTGTTACATCGAAATTGTCAGGCAATAATAGGCGAAAGAGAGTAGAGAAACATTTAAGACTTTTGTAGAAATAGATTTCGTATTTATTTAGCATTTTATATATTAATGCCTGCTGTTGGGGGCACTATGCTCTCATAGTGTTCTGAGGAAGGAATAGTGGCCGAGCGATAGCGGGGCATCTATCCTTCCAAAGCAGACCTATGAGAGCATTAGTGCCGCCAACAACATGGCATTAATAGTTTTAGTGCACTCATCAGACTCATGCAATCTCCTTTCATGCTTATATACCGTTCTTTATAAACCCTATATTTGCCGGTGCATTCTGGATGTTAACAAAACGTCGACACACAACACAGCGGCACACCGCCGTTCAGAACTTTTTGCGTGCATGTGCGCCCAGACGCAGTGAGACATCGCTGACGTGAATCACATGCGTTATACATAACATGACGTCGCGCAAGCAATAGCTGCCTGCTGTCAGGCGCAACTATT